ACTAGTCTTGGCAATAAGATTTTTTACGGGGGCCCTACATTAACATGGTAAACACAGTACTGTAACTCTGGTGGCGTTCATAAATGCTTGAACGGTAACAGTGGGTCTGATCTACATTAAAAATAAATACATGACTAAACGAATGAGGAAGAATAAGGAGATGGTGATGAAGACAAAAGAGAAGGGTCATGTGATGGTGAGTTTACCCTCTTCATCGGAGTACTCTGCAAAGAACAATTCGGGAGGTTGGGCATTGCGCAGAGCAGCCTCGAAGCCACCGTCACTGGTGGAACGAAAACTCCAAAAGTGTTGGAGAGCACTTGTGACCAATGAGTGAATGCGGTCCGGAGTATTGGCGATCAGGCCACGCACAGCCTCTGGGGACTAAAAAAAGGCAGGTACGACAATGGTTAAAAAAGATGGTGAGGGAGACGGGCGAGGGTTAGCAGGGAACAGAGAGAGAAGCTACAGAGGAGTGGAACCAGAGACAAGGCCAGTTAAAGTTGGCAGGGCTGCGAAGGGAATAATGAAGTCCGGAACGCGCGAAACTGGTGTCAGAAGAACTGCTTAGAGATATGTCCATGAGAACCATAGTTAATGGAACTCATTAACTATTCCCCCCTAGGCAATATTGCCGAGTTTAAACAAAGGATGATCTGGACTCGTTCTTTATAAACCTTGGGACACAAAATCATGTACATCTGTCCAAATCTGAAATTTAGAAACATATAAAACGTCTTTTTTCTAAGAATATAATCTCACAATCGTATTTTCACGAATTATACGGTTACAAAAATCAATTTCTAAGTACAGCAAGTCTTGCCTGGTAAGACTCTCGGGGTTAACTTGCTTCCATCCAAAAGAAGAACAATCTCAGATACGCAAACGATGTCTAGAACAACTATTTGTATAGAAAAATGCCCGAATATAACGCAGACTTATGCTTTAACTTACAAATATTTTTACTGATAAAATAGATTCAAGGAACGTAGTCTTCACCCAGAAAGGGAATTTTTCGGCTAGAATAATATATAAAAATGCACTAAGATTACAGTGCCTAAAATGCATAAGCTCAATTTCTGTAGCCTGGTTCATAGGCCTCAGAAGCAGTGAGTTATTTTATCAACTGGCAACCTTGCAAGCCACGACTCATAGCGCGGCCGGCTTATTATAATGGAACTTAATGACGTCATGAAATTTCGTGACCTCTCAATCAGCTGCAAACGGTCGTT